AAAAAAAAAAAAAAAAAAAAAGCAGTTGCACAACAAAATCATCAGATTCATTGGGAATTATACTATTACTTAATATATTAAGAAAGCAGATGAATAACTGATACTTATTAAGAGCTTATTAGGTGCCAGTCACTGTGGTAATAGCTCATTTAATCTTCACAATAATCCTGATACTGGACTTTAAGTAACTGTCTCTGTTTCAAGATGAAATAACCTGAGTCTTGGAACATTAGCCAAATTATAAAAGCCATAAAATCACTAAACATTAAACTCAAAGAAACTGTTCTTACGTTAAGCTCCAAACCACAAATCACTCAAGGATTATACAGTTTAAGAGTAAAAACAAATCATTCCAGAAAAATTTAGTCTCTTTAAAACAAAACAACAAAGAACCCCCCCACCTAAGATATTTAGGGATTACGCTCTAAACAGGTATGTTCTACTGGACTTCATACAAAGCTTTGGCAGAGACTGAATAACTGGCAATGAAGATTACAATTATTTAAAGAAAACTACACCATAGCTCTTTTATAGTTATATTTTTTCCTTTTATCCAATAAGTTAAATTTTAAATGCCTATGCATAATCCACATTTTGTATTTAGCTCTCCTTCTAATTTTCTATTAATTCACAAAAATTAAATATAACATGATTGTTTACTGATTTCTGCTATAATACTGATGATTATCCAACAAAAAGGAAATGTGGCATCGTGGTTATGTGTGATTTAAGATTAAAAATTTCTTTTGAGGCTATAATTTATTTTTACAGACAACAGCTCAGCTCTTTATAGCATTAGGAAATAAAACATTATACAACATTACTAATTCTGAGAGATAATTTCATGGGTTTTCTTCTAACTACTGTAACAACATCTACAAAATAAAATGTATCTGTTTAATTCCCCAGGGAGAGGTATAAAATTGTGTTTGCATTCCTTATGCAATTATATAAAGTGATTGTTAACACTACCTTAATTCTAGAAGAGGCAGTATAAAATATTTAGGAGAATATGTTATGCTCCTAGCCAAAAACTAGTTAGTTGAACTTTCTCTGATGGTATCTACCACGAATATACCTATCTTTTGTATTTTCTCTTCCTTTTATTCCCCCCACCACCAATCCATTCAACTGAGCAACCAACTCAAACTCTTGTTTGTCCTTAATTATCTTTTGCCCTTGTGGTACTGGGGATTGAAAAGGTCTTTAAACTGAGCTACAACCCTAGCAACACCTCCCTCTTTGAGATAGGGTCTCACTAAGTCACTCAAACTGAGCTCAAACTTGTGTTCCTCCTGCCTTTGCCTCCCTGTGTGCTGAGATTATAGCCATGTGTCACCATATTCAACTTGATTTCTCGTTTAAAATGATCAGTGAGTTGTCAGGAAGTTACCTTCTCAGTATGTTTTGCATTTGTCTCTTCCTCTTCATTTATAGTATTTTCTTGGTTCGATACATATTATTTACCTTAATTACAACTATTATCTTGTTTCTTTTCATAATACTCAGATTTCTGACTCAGTCCAATCAGTTCTAGGCCTTTTGGCTAAGATTAAGTTTAGTATTTGACTCAATCCAAGGAACTTTTTTACTTTAGAGTTCTGCTGAAAACTTAAATCATCATAGACTTTAGGAGGATGCCCCTAATTAAAAACAAGACCATTCACAATCTGAATTCTCAGTATATTTAGCTCCCACTTCCTCCTTCCCTTCGCCCCCAGCCATTCTAAATTAAGCACAGTTTCCCCAAAGCTCCTGGTAGTTACTTTTTTCATTTTTCTTTGCTTGAAATATCCAATCCTTTTGAGTAGAAATTATTTAGATGATTTTCATGTTCCAAGAGCTTCAATTTAACCAAAAAATTTAATAATCTTCAACTAGACTAATTTTGTAATGTTTTGAAAGCTGGACCAACTTCAATTAACTTATCCCCAGAATTAGCACACAGTCTGATTTATACTACAGTAAGCATTCAATAAACTAATGTAATTCTGCCTCTAAAATTTTTTCTACTCTAGTGTGTTTATCAGCATTTTCAGAGGACACAGACATCAACTACAAACCACTTTCATTCCCTACATCATCTGACTGGGCCCCAGTTTCTCAAGTATTAGTTATGAAGCTCTTTTCTAACTTTAGAAATTCTATCGTAATATGACTGCTTGCATCACATACATACACTTTACAGAATGTAAATACTATGTAATAAGTATATAATATACACAATTAACAAATATATAATATATACATTACATGTGTCCATAGATATGTAAAGGTATACCTTTACATACCATATATTAAGAGAATTCCATTATTGTGATTTGCTTGGTTTTGGGTTCTTTTTTGGGGATTAGGTGTCTAGACTGGCCTCAAACTCATGATCCTCCTACCTCAGCCTCCCACGTAGCAAGGATTATAAGCATGCATCATAGAACCCAACTCTCTTCTATGATTTAATATTTGTGTTTATAAATATACACTTTTCTTCTAAATATACATAGAAAAGTGGCAATAGATCTGCTGAAGAAACACTTGAACCATTACTTAAACATAATATTAAGGTCTGGGGATATAGCTCAGTGGCACAGCGACTGCCTGGCAAGCACAAGGTCCTGAGTTCAATCCAAGTACCAAAATATATACATACATAAGTCTACCTTAATAGTAAAGATGCTTTTCATATTGTTCCCAGGTTAGTCTCAAAAAGAAAGAAAATTCTAAAATCTTAGAGTCACATTTATTTATTTATTGGTACCGGGGATCGAACTCGGGTCCTCGTGCTTGCAAGGCAGGCGGCAGAACCATTGAGCTAAATCCCTGGCCCTCACACATATTTTTTATAACCTGAATGTATTCATGGAATAAAACAAGGATAAGAACAAGACTCAGATGACACTTTTCATATAAAGGAATATTAGAACACCAGGCATCATTCATTACTATTTTTCTATGACATTTTCTACCCAAGAACAGGTTATATTTTAAATGTTACGCTCTTTTGATAACATCTTAAACTTTTTTATGAAAAGCAATAAATTTACATAATGGAGATTAATGAATTTTCCAAGGAAATATACCCCTGGCCTTTCTTTTGTAAGCAGAATACCCAAGTATCTTAAATGTTACCAACCCTTCCAGGAAGAACAACTGCTTTAACCACTCTTGATATACCCAGGTCATAAAGACAGAGAACACTCCCTTCAGCTTCTTCCAATCCTATTAACAATCCAGTTCTCTTCTGCCAAGAGAATTCTTTCACAGCAAGGGCGATAGGAGGCTGTTCATTTAATCCACTGAATCTATATGCAGACAACCGCTCTCCTGTTACAGAGTTCACAACCTCAAGCTGTGGACCACACGCCAAGAAAGCAAGTCTATTTTTCCCTAGGAGGAAGGGGGAAAAAAAGCAAAAAAATATAATGAATGTACAGAACAAGTAAACAGCAGTTAGCTTTTTCACATATATAAATATATAATACACAGCTCATTAACACAATTTTATATACCATCCCCTCAATTTGAAATCTAGGCACTTACTAAACAGCATGGTCTTCAAATTAATAAACCGAGCAACTATAACTACAATAATAATCATTCAGTAAAAGCACCATACTATGTGCTTAAATACATTAGTTCATTTACTCCTTATCACAGCTCAACAGAGATAAGGTAACAGAATTCAACTTGTCCAAAGTCAGTTACAAAGAAATTCAGCTTTGAAGTAGATCTCATCTATCTTAATTCCAAATCTCATACTTTAATCATTATATTACATAATGAATAGCCAGACTTGATGGTGCCCACCTATAACTCCAGCACTCTAGGAGGCTGAGGCAAGAAGATCACAAGTTTGAACCCAGCTCAGGTAACTTAGTAACTTTGTGAGACCCCGTCAACAGAGTAAAATATTAAATAGGACTGCGGATATAGCTTAGTATGAAACCCTGGGTTCAATCCCTTGTAAAAAACAAACACACTAGGAACTATAAAATACAAGAGTTTATATTCTGAGAAAATAAGACATAATATATTCTGAGAAAATAAGATATAACTAGCCAAACAAATAGGAACTCCTTCTTGACCTACTGATCATGTTCAAATTTTATTCTGACTATAAATGTAAAGTCACTAGAGCATTTAAAGCAGGTTAATAATCTGATGTATTTTTAAGTGTTACCATAAGCAAAGAATGAACAAAGGCAAGCACAAAGAAGTAGGGAGAAAATGATTCACTCTGGTGTCTATGGATAGTGACAAGCAGATTCTTAGCAGTAGAACTAGCAGTATTTGTTCAGTGATGAATTAGAGGGAGAGGTGAGTGACACAGAAAAATCTAGAATGTATCTTGAATTTTCACTTGTGCAACTAGATGAATGATATTAACCTTATAAAAGTTGAGCTATCCATCATATATTCAAAATTTTAAGGCCCTACAGAACTTCTGACTGGCAAGAGTAAGGTCCTGAGTTCAATTCCCAGTACTAGGGGGAAAAAAAATTGTTAAGGCCCTAATCCAAATCCATCACTCAATAAAACTTATTATTATAATAATTTAAAAATATCAGAGGTGCATTATTTCTACTTTCCAAATACAGATATCTAATTCTAAAAGATATTTGTATACAACATGTATTAATAATAAAGAAAATTTAACAAAAATCCTCCAGAGATTCACAGCCATGTTCCAGTGTACACAGGTGTTATGTAAGTGATTGTATGTCATGAGGACATGCTACACAGGTTTTGCTGTTTTCTCTTTCACTAAAGAAACTATAATATACACATATTTATCTTCCAAATCAATCAAATTAGGGAATTTTCAGCAACATTACTTTACCTGCAGCAAATTTTCCCCGAAGCACAGATTCTAACGTTATTTCATCTTCTCCAAGGGCTTGAATAGTCACTTCTGGGAAATGCAGGAAATCACTAGTCACTTGAGCAATTAAGTCTTGCATACTTCCACTGTAAGCATTTTAAAAGGATAACATCATGTTACATTTGAACTACTGTATCATATACTTGATTATTTCCAGCCTGAAATATAAGAAGGAAACTGAGCCACCACACATAAAACTAAAATCTGGTAATAAAATACATTTTTAACTACAGCTAGGTCTGAGGTATTCTCCCCTAAGAAAAATTATTCCCTAAGAAAATATTTCTCAGTCTTAGTAAAATAAAGATTAAGCCAGATGTCCTAAGAATATACTTTAGTCCTCTGACACTCTGAAAACTGGTTCAACGCAACGCCTAATCTCCTTTTAGAAAACACCACAGGAAAAACCTGATGTTTTTAAAAATTACTTCTTCAGTAAAAGAAAACAACAAAAAAAAGTCCAAACCCAGAGAAATCTCAAAAATTAAGTTGTATGTCTTTTACTAGATAGAACATCATTCCTAAAATATGAAAACTAGATTCCCTAAATGACCTGTCTCCACTGTAAACAATCAAAATATGTAAGTATCTTTCTGAGTTCACAAAGCATAAAATGAAGAGAAGGCAGGAATTTTGGGAGCCATTTAAACTGCTCTGTTACTGACGGTTAGCTACCAAATCTAATCCTGGTGACCTTGATCTTGTTTTGAGTACTCTTCAATTCTACCTAGGCAGAAGATAAAGTTTAGGGCTAACAGAGCTAATGCAAACTAAGAACCTCCCTTAATCCCATTAAATTCCACAGGGTTATACAGCACATGAATGACAGAAACATATTTTAATCCAGGATGGGGAGTAATATAATACAACTGCCCACTTTGACCATGGCATCTACTCATTTAAAGAAAATTCACTATGAAGTAATAAAGTCTCACAAGTTGGTAAGACTTCAAACAAGCCACAGAAACAACCAAATATCCTCAGGAACTGCAAGAAATTCTTAAGGATGAAGTTCAAAAGAAAATAAGCTCACAACAAAATAACATGATGAAAATCCAGCAGAATCAGACTACCAAAGTTTTTATTTATTGAAATTACAAGTGAATAGAAAATGCCTATTGTATGTAATGGAAATCAAAGATTAGCTTGATAAGAAAAAAACTATAAAAGTTTAAAGAAAAATGTTCCAGTAGATTAAAAAAACCCTCTAAAAATTAGAAATAATATAATCCCAGCACTTGGAAGACTGATCTCTATGAGATGAGGAGGATCTCTATGAGCTTGAGGCTGCTCCTCTGAGCTACGAAGTGAGTTCAAGGCCTAACTGAGCTGCACAGTGAGACCCTATCTGAAAATAAATGAATGGTAAAATTTAAACTTCAATGAAAAAACTCAATGTAGGGATAATAATGGATTGGTTACATATGACATATGAGTGTCAGAATATTAAATAAAAGCAAAACACACACAAAGAGTAACTACATTTACAAAGCATTACAAGAACTTGCAAAACCAAACAATGTATTGCCTAGGGATGGAAACACGACAAAAATATTTTTAAAAACCAGTAAAAGTAAACACAAAATCCACCACAGTACAGAATTATCTTTGAGAGGAAGGAGAGGAACACACAAAGACTCCAAGGTACTGGCAGTGTTCTTTCTCTAAAACTTGGTAAGTGAAGGCTGAGCAACCCTAACCTGAAAATCTAAGTCCTCCAAAATCCACAACATTTTGTACAACATGACACCATAAATAGAAAATTCCACACCTGACCTCAAATGACAGAACACAGGTAGGAACCTTAAAAATACTGTATACCTTACAAAAAAAACTTTTAAAGCCATTCACCAAATACATATTTTATACATTTTTTTCTTTAAGTTTGTTTGAAGTAGTGTCTCACTAAATAGTTCAGGCTGGCATAAAACTCAATCATAATGATCCTGTCTTAAGCCTCTTGAGCACTGAGATTACAGACATGCACCACCATGCCTGGCACTACACAAGGAAGGGGAGGGGGAAGAAGGAAGAGGGTCTTGGAAGGGAAAGGGAGGAAAGGAAAGGAAAAACAGTAAACTAGAAAGAGCGCCTAAAAGCTTTTTCAAAAATACAGCACTGAGACAAACATAAATAATTGAGTTATAGGCAACAGACCTAACATGTCTAATCACAATTCCCCTGAAATAGTAAGGAAGAGGTGATATTCCAAGACATGCTTCCCAGATTTAAGAACCACTGATTCTTTAAAAATCAAAAAATCAAGTGAATCTGAGGCAGCAAACAAGTCTGCACTATCTTCAAAATTCAAAGCAAAAAAGTCAATGAAAAGTAATATCCATTAGCTTTCAATACAAAAATTTATTCTATTTACATGAGGCTTCCAGGCTCAAACTTTAGTTGTTGACAAGTTGATCTCAAATTGATCATATTTATTTCTTCTAAATTATCTCAGTACCAAAGAAATTTTGAATGGGAAAGGCCAAAATCCATTGTTACTATGTTGTATTATCTCTAATGACCTTAGACATACAACCTCAATGAAAAACAGTTTATAGCAAACTAAAATTAACATATTTTCTCTTATTAAACTTAAAACCAAAGTCATTCCTCCAGAGTGAAGACCTTAGAGTATTTGTGGGGTTTTTTTGTTTGTTTGTTTTTTTGAGACAGGGTCTCACTATGTAGTTGAGACTGAACTGGAACTCACTATGCAGCCCAGGGTGGTCTCGAACTCACAGTGATCCTCCTGCCTCAGCCTCCCAAGAGTGCTGGGATTACAGGGGTATGCCACCACGCCTGGCTCTTTGAGTATTTCTTGTAGAAGCTTTCTCCAAAGCATATTTAAAGGAGTATTAAGTGGGGATTAAGCAATAAAGTTCCCTAATCATTGTAGTTCAATGGAAATCAACCCCCCCCCGTATAATCCCCAGTACTGCCACATAAACAGCTACAGAATTTTAAAGACTTTTACAAGGTAATTATAAAATTTAAGAACAATGCACAAGAACTAAGCAATTAAAAAAATATATAGCTTTCTCAAAGGGAAAGGGGAACAAGAGATAGATGGAGGGGGAGGGAAAAAGGAATTAAGATGTGTTCTGCACATGTACCAACTCCAAGGAACGTAAACTCCATAGAAAGAATGTAAACATTACAAACATGTACAAAGGGGGGTGGTCAAGAGATTGATGGAGGGAGGAGAGAAGAAAGGGATGAAAAGATGTATTATGTACATCATGTACTAACTCCCCACAGGGAATGTAAACATAAATTGTCTGACCAAAAAAACATACTAAATGTTCTATTTCCTTGGATGGACAAATCTTATTAAAGAAATATTATGTGGAAGTATACAAAATAATGTTATAATTTCTATAAAATTATATTTTCCATTCCAGATATGTCCTACTACCTGAAATATATGAAACAAAGTGCTCAACAATGAAGAACACAGAGTGCAGAACTGTAATCCCCGAGCCGGGGATTTAGCTCAGCAGTTCAGTGGCCTGCCTTGCAAGTGCAAGGACCCGAGTTCTATCCCCGGTACCCCCCCCAAAAAAAAACCCCACAACAACAACACCACCACCACCACAAAAAAACAGAACTGTAATCCCCGAGCAAGGAAAAGTGAGTAAGGGGACCTCTATGTCTGTCCCAGCTTACTACATAAAATGTCCAGGATACAGATAGAGCACAGGGGAATCCAGAGACCAAGGGTCTCTGAGTTAAGGAGATAAGAACTGAGATTTAAAGAACTAGAATTTGCCAGTGATAAGCCAGTGAGGTTTACCATAATATTCATTAGTATCTTATGCTGAAATAAAACCAATAAATAAATATTTATTGCATCAATTGATCAGAAATGGATCCAAATCTGTATGGATAAGCTAAACCAAACTTTATATTCTCGTGTTAAAAAATTCAAAAGCACTCCTCTAACTCTGGCCTAAGGCTGAGATACTTCCCCAAATGATAAACAGTGTAAACAATTTAAGCCAGTGCTATTCTTAGAAAGGCAGAATTAATTAAAGACAACAGAGCTTAGCATTCTTAAAACTGTTCAATTTTTTTTAGTGATCCCTTCTACCACATGCAACAGATACACTATTTTATCATTTCGGGTCGATTTCTAAATTTACTCAACCAACATTAAATGATTACTACATCCTAAAGAGCTAGAATGAATACTGAATCCATAGCTTTCTCTTTCCTCAGTGTAATGGCAATGGCCCCCTCAAGTGCTACACTCTCTTCATCTCAATTTTAAGAAAGCTTTTTTAGGAATTGGAAAATAACTTTAATTCAACTGTATTTTTGTTGTTGTTGTTACCAGGGATGGAACTTGTGACCTTGTGCTTGCTGGTGAGACACCCTTGGTATCACTGAGCTAAGTCCCCCGCCCAATTCAAGTGTAATTCAATTAGGTCTGGGTTCTACGCGTGCGTGCACACACACACACACACACACACACACACACACACACACATGCACACACAGACACACACTGCCCCTTTAGTGACACTGGGATTAGAAATGGGTTCACAACCTCCTAAAAAAATCAATGCCTACTTCAAAAGAGGAATTTTTCCTCAAAGTCCTTTCTGTCTGTGAAATACCAGGTAATACAATAATCACAATTTCTATCCAGGGCATTAAAAAGAGCACAAACCAAACAGAAGTGTGAAACTAGGTTCTAATATATGTAATCTGATACTTCTATATTCTGTCTTCTTTTCACAACTAAGCTTCTAGAAAAGGGGACTCCATATGTATCATGGGGGCAGGCACAAAGGAATTAAAAAAAAAACTGCTACGAGTTAAAGTTTTTCAAATTTAGAATTAAGCATTTCAATCCATAGGCTAAAAATTGGTTTTAAGACTTTTCATATGTAAGCACACTGAAGAGAACTTCTAAAAACTGAAATATTTGAAAAACTCTCTCATACAAAGATATAGAAGACAAAGACACTATGTTCAGCATTGTACAAAGCAAACCTAAATAAAATAAAGTTTTTTATGACATGCCACCATCATCAACCTCTAAAAAATAATTTACAAGGTTTCAACTTCTTCTATAAGGAGGATCAGGAACATTTTGTAGCTATCAAGGAAAACACTGTTCGTCTTCTGAAAAATAAAAATGGAGGGCTGGGGATGCGGTTCAGTGGTTCCACTGCCTGCCTCACAAGCGCAAGGTCCCAAGTTTGATCCATGGTACCAAAAAAAAAAAAAAATTCAAATTTCCATTTTTCTCAAAAACACAAATGGATGTTACTCCCCTCAAGAAAACTTCAGTAACTCTTTGAAAAATAGAAAAAACTGACACCTCAGCCACAGGCAATGAAGGCCCTCCACAATCTAACAGGCCTAGACTATCTTTATAATATACCTTGGTCTCAAAATCCCTTCATTCAACAGTGGGCCATGGGTTTAGCACTCTCATTTTATTTATACTGTTCATCCTCCATCGCCATCTGCTAATGTCATACCCATCATTCAAGGACTAACTTTCCAGAGTGTGATTTCATCTCCTTCCATTCGTTCTACTTTTATATTGCTAATCCTAAATATGTCTCTTTTGATCTCATAATGTAGCAAGATATCGTCTAAAAAAAAAAGTCATAGCTTCTTCACTACACTATGAATTCCTGAAAGGCAAAAAATCATCAACTCTTTTTACTGGGCATTTCACAAGTCACAAAACATTACAACGAACAGGTCTACCCATTCGATAAATTAGGATAAGTTAATAACAGGGTACTATCAGACAAGTGGAATATATGACAAACAATAAAATCTAATTAAAAAAACTCAATAGTGAGCTATCTTTTTTTTTTTTTTTTTTTTTTTTTTTTTTTTTTTTGGTACTCAGTGCTTGCGAGACAGGTGGAAGCACCATGAGCTAAAGGCCCGGCCCTGGGCTGTCTTATTTTAAAATATACATTGTTTCAGCATAAAGAACAAAATTCGTAAGAATGCTGATATTAAAACAATACCATAATAAGTTTTCTAATGCACATCTCCAAAGTAACTGAATTCCACCATACAAAACAGAACCTAATTATTTAAAAACAAAGAAAAAATATATTCCAACATATGCTGAGCAAACACCTCTACACATTTTGTATGCACTTATTTTTTCTTTGACTAACAGTCTAAGAATTGTGATTTATATGTGGACCCAGAAACTTCCAGCTGTTAAGTAGCTGTTCTTTCAAACATTCATCAACTACATTTAAAACATTGTTTTTATCTGGGTGTGACGGTGCATGCCTGTAATACCAGAACTTGGGAGGCTGATGATCTCAAATTTGTGTCCTCCCTTGACCAATTTAGGGGGTCCTTGTTGTAACATAAAGGGAAGGGGGGGTTCGGGGGTGGGGGGGGTCAGTGTCTAATAAATTTTATTTCTTCTTAAAACAAGATGTGTGTCCCCCAAGTTGCTGTATAATTTCAAATTTTTACAGAATTATATGAACTGGCGACTTTATTAGCACGTTATTGAAAAAACAGTTTAAAAGCAGTATCAAAAATCACAGTACAAGCACTTAGCACACTTGTACACGATCGAGTTCTCGGAAGTAAGCACACCTATCCTAATTTCTTCTCTCCCTACAGACCTTTTAAGTGAGAACTCTCAAAAGTCAGTTTTTACAATCCACAGGCTCTTTCAGGTATTGAGAACAAACTGAAGCTCAGAATTTTCAAAAAACCTATAAAGAACCCAATGTTCTTTCTCCGACTTAAAAAAAAAAAAAAGCGGGGGGGGTGTGACTCAGGGAGAGCGCGCGCTCACTGGGATCGTGAAGCCCCAGGATCCAACCCCACCACTGAAACTAAACAAAAATAAAAATAACGCTCATTTCCTAAATCTGTACATCTCCGGCATGAACCTCGCTGACTCTGACAAAATTAATCTATTTTCTCCCAAATAGAAATAAGTCAACCGATGGCAAACGTAATCAATCATCCTTAAACCTCCTAGATGGGATAATACTCCGGGACATCTAAATTATTTTAAAAATCCCCCCGAAGGTGCGGTGGTGCACGCCCGTGATCCCAGCACTTGGGATCTTGAAGCGCGAGGGTGGCAACTTCGCGTCGCGCCTGTAAAAGATCAGGGCCTCATCTCAAAAAATAAAAAAAGCTGGGAAAGCTCAGTGCTAAGGTCCTGAGTTTAATGTCTAGCACCAAAACAAATTGAGGCGCACGCCTGCACTCCAGCACCCTGGGAGGCCGAGGCAAAAACATCAAGTCTGCGCCCAGCCTGGCCCACTTAGCACTGTCTCAAAAATGAAAACATAAAAAAGGTCCGAGCATGTAGCTCATCGCGAAGGTCCTGGGTTCAGTTCTCCAGTACGAGGAAAATAAGTCCTCTGTCGGACCAATTCACACGTTTTCGAATCGCCAGACAAACCTAAACTTTGTTCCCCGGCCCGGACTCACCCGAACCAGGCCCGCTAACACCCGGAGCACACAGCAATTCGAGACAGTCAGCGAGCGCCCACAGCCTCTCCAGGACACTAACGCCGTGACGCCTCCAATGCAATGTGCCGCGGTTCCGCCCGAACAGCCTTACATAACCGGCGCCTGGGCGCTCAAACCGGAGGTACCGGTCGCAGACCGCGCGCGCCGCCTCGGGCCCGATCCGGCGTC